GATCAATTCTAATACGGGTATTCACGGGTCTATAACTATAGTAAGTCCACTTCTGTTTTCTGAACTGATTACTAAGAATGATCTTTCTTAACATACAAGACGTAGACTTTCAGGTGAGGTGAGGTGAAATTGGGTTTAACGTCGTGCTTGAGAATATTTCGCTCATATGACGACGTGCATGCATGTATGTGCTGGTTTTATAGTGCCAGCCCACTGAGATACCATGCCGCAGTGAAGCATGAATGCCCCACTCAGACACATTATACTGACTCCGAGCCGACCAGTCCTTGTTGTACCCATTAATGCCGAGCGCCAGGCAGGGACCAACAAGGACCATATTTTAACGTCTTTTGGTATGACGCGGTCGGGGATCGAACCCGCGACCTTCCGCTCTCCGGGTGGACGCTCTAACCACTACACCATGGCGTAGACTTTCAGAAACTACACGATGTCATGGTACTTGTATGGGTGACGCAGTGATGTCGCAACATCGATGCTGACGTAGTCGGCTTATGCTGATCGTAACATACACGCACGCACGCACGCACGCACGCACGCACGCACGCACGCACGCACGCACGCACGCACGCACGCACACGCACACACACACACACACACACACACACACACATACATACATACATACATACATACATACATACATACATACATACATACATACCAATAATTTACATGCAATCAACTGACTGACTGACTGAGTTTAGTTTTACGCCGCTTTTAGCAATATTCCACGGCGGGGGAACACCAGAAATGGGCTTCACACATTGTACCCATGTGGGGATACGAACCCGGGTCTTCGGCGTGACGAGGCAACGCTTTAATCACTAGGCTACCCCACCGCCCACACATGCAATCAAACCCTTTTATCGGTTACACGTACTTGAGCTGTCAGTCCAGATCTGAAGAGGTAATCATGCGACGATGTCGTATTGGCCATACAAGATATATTCACGAATATTTGTTAAAAGATTATGCTCCATTTCATATCCCTTGTGATGAAAGAATCACGATCAAGCATGTCCTGCTTGATTGTATTGATTTTTCCATCACAAGAAATAAATATTTCAATGTCAGTGGAGGATGTTTTTAATGTTAATTATAATTCAAATATTGAATTTTTAAAAGAAATAAAAATATTAGATAAATTTTGATAAATGGTTTGTAAATAGGTCAAAATTTTGTCATTGGTAGTTTAACTGATTGTGAGTGGCTGTATCATCACAGGGGGTTGAAGTATTGTAAAATTATTGTCCTCCTGAGAGGGTACGTAAGTCCCAAAGCAATCAAAGTAAATTAATCAAACAAATAGTTGTTTTACTGTCCTTTGTTGGCAGGTTTCTATATTTCACCCCCCCATTGCCTTTAGCTATATGCACACACAGTGCCATTTAAATAGTGGTCAATTTTAACATATGTTATATTTGGGGTTAGATTTTTCAGTAAAGCTCTGAATCTAGTACTTTTGGAGGTTGAGTCTCATCCGAGATTCGAACTCACACGCTACCTGTTACGTATTTGATAAACACTGATATGACAAGAGGAAAAGTTGTAAGATTTCTTGTAAGCGTACCACTGAGAAATCACTCGCTACTCTATCAAATATTTAGCACCTAATTTTAAGATATTTCCTCACCTGAAAGTTAATGTTCTGTTAATCTCTAATTCTCGGTGGATTAAATAAATTTCGATAATGAACTATTGTTATTTATGTCTCACATGTTGGTTAGTGTGAAAATCCTTAATAGCTTTCATTCATGGCCCGCGAGTCGTAGCTAATTAATTTGAAAACCAATCAAGACAATGACCGATTGGTATGTTGCTTGTATGATTTTGTTCTGTATAATCTTAACATCTTTAAATATTCATATCCATATTCCCATGGACCCTTGTATGGTGATCTATAGCCAGTTTTAATTTTGTACTGTCTATAGTGATTTAATTTTACGTTAGCGTACTAGTTTTAAATTTATATAGCTGTGATGTTCTAGTATTTTTACTGTCCTTCGATGACAGGTATTTATGTTCCAACCTCATTGATTTTCATATTCATATAAACTAGATTGTTCTCGTCACGATATGGCTGAAATGTTGCCGATGTGACGTTAAATAATAACTCACTCACTCACTCATATCCATATTCAAGACGGTCAGTTAGCTGTTTGATCTTGCAAATAAAACAGATTTTACACAGAATCCTTAACCGGCATTTCGAATGGCTACTGTAGCTCTATCTATGCGGGTGCAGAAGCTTATCCTCAATAGACAGCATACTGTGTGTTCTTAACTGTTTTACCCTTGAAGATCCGGGTTAGAATTGATCTTCAGTAACCCGTGCTTGTCGTAAGAGGCGACTAACGGGATCGGGTGGTCAGGCTCGCTGACTTGGTAAACACATGTCATCGTATCTCAATTGCGTAGATCGATCACCGGATTGTCTGGTCCAGATCGTCGCCATTTAGCTGGAATACTGAGTACGGCGTAAAACTGAACTCATCCACTCACTCATGGTAGGTGCCCACAACGTAATCAAATTGGTTGAAATGTTGCCTGTAAACGTAGACCGTATTATATTTAGTGACTGCGAACTGATAATTATTATTATTATGCTAATATTTGTATACCACCAATATCGAGCTCAGCTGCTCAAAGGCGTTTTGTTTTCCCCTCGATCATTGGATGTCAATCTCAAACGACACATGGTATTATCAATCTCAACTCCTTGGGGATCATGATAAGAGTGCACTGTACAATACAACCTTTCAAGATAGACGAGCAATTTTTATCTATCTCGTGTGAGTCATTTTTGCCAGTGGCTGTAATGCATATGGCATAATATACGTAACAGTTTGGCTATCCGATCCTTACGAGGTACCCATTCACAGCTGGGTGGACTGGGACACATAGTCACAGTACTTTGTCCACGTTTTACTGCAATTTGCTGTACCCGTAACTAGGTGTTTGCACGTATTCATGTGGCCACCATCTGGTCATATACCAACAGATTCATGGGTTCTTCTAAGTGCACAGGGTTGTGTACCGTACACTAGGGGTGGTGACAACACTGATCGAGTCTGCACACAAAGTTGACTCCCAGGTTTTTACACCCGGTCACAGGTGGGCTCGATCCCGGCATCTCCAAGGTCGCTGGATCACTAGCCTGGCGCCTAAGACAGCTCGCCCACCACGATTTCTACTGCTCCTTGTCAGTTTATATCCGGATTTTCAAGACTCTTGCTCAAAATTTGTTTCATCAGGGTTGTATCATTCAAAGCCTCTCAGTTGTTTGATGGTATGTCTTTCGGGGACATTTTACCGGGTTAGAATGTACCTTCAGCAACCCATGCTTGTCGTAAGAGGCGACTAACGGGATCGGGTGGTCAGGTTCGCTGGCTTGGTTTGACACATGTCATGGGTTCCCAATTGCGCAGATCGATGCTCATACTGTTGATCACTGGATTGTCTGGTCCAGACTCGATTATTTACAGACCGCGCCGCCACATAGCTGGAATATCTCTGAGTGCGGCGTAAAACTAAACTCACTCACTCACTAGGGGACATTTTAAAGTGATTCATAAACACATTATATTAAGTCGTCCAACTGTTTCTAATGTTGATGTATTGATGAACAATTCAGAAAACAAACTATGCAAAGTACAAGGTCTCACGAAGGATGACTTTAACTTTCCAATTATCAGCTTCTTGCTGAACCCATTTAATTTCACAACTTTTTAGACTTACTCGGGGATGAGGTATGTGACGTTTTACGTGTTAATTAGTCATTGGTGGGGTGGCCTAGTGGTTAAACCGTTCGCTGGTCACGCCAAAGACCCGGGTTCGATTCCCCACATAGGTACAATGTGTGAAGTTTCTGTTGTCCCCCGCCGTGATATTGCTGGAATATTGCTAAAAGCGGCGAGAAACTAAACAAGTCAAAACATTGATTACACAACAGTCTCGTTTCCTGCTGACTGGGTTTCGTCCTATTGCGCAACATAGTACAATAACCAGTCCAGAATTTTGAGACCAATTCATTCAACTGAATACATAAATATTAATCAGTATTATTTGATACATATAAGCACTTGTATATTGCAACACTACGCTCCTTCTAATCCTTGCAAACGCGTCGTGCAGCGTGCTCTGTCGTACAGCGTGTTCTAACAGACCATTCGTGACCAACTCGTGTTATTCCGGGACGGAAAGAGGCGAGTGGTGACGAATGTTCTTGGAGGTTACGGAAAGAGGCGAGTGTTGACGAATGCTAACGGACGGAAATCTGGAAATCGTGGAAATCTCAAAACGAGGCTCTGCCGCTAGAAAGGTTTGGCGGTCTGGTACGGACATTGTGCGTTACAAAACTACACTGAACAAGCGCAAAGAACACATAACATGTGTAACGAGTGAGCCAGATGAATTGTGAATCATTTTACGACCTCGTCAAACAGGGGCAGTTAGTGACGTCTTAGTTAAGGTCATGCTGCCTACACCTCGCCATATAAACATAGAAATACGATGTTATTAAAGTTTGAAATTAAAATTAACCTGTAAATACCATTTTCTTATGAAACAAGAAATTGAAATTCAGTGTAACCATAGTTGTTTGTAGTGTGTCTTTTCACTTTCACACGAGAAGATTCGGATCGGCTGAAAAGTAGGTCATTGTCTGAATAGGTTAATGAGACTCATGTTTCGGTTTGTCACTTACTTACAACTTTTAAAGCATAATTTCACAAGTCCCTTTCTAAAAAGATTTCAAAGAGCGCCATATGGCCTTGGTCTAAATAAAGCTTTCAAAGTGATTAATGGTTCACATTGCAAACATATGCACTTGACGAGGAACGTTTTTTGCCATAGGACAATCCTGGTATTCTTTACTTAACATAACTGCACCTATCTCTCTGGCCTTACGAAAAACGTACGTATTACTTCAAGTAATATATTACTTATTAATTGGTAGATATAAAACAAAAACATATGCATTCCGCTCAAGAGACCTATAATCGCAAACAACAGGACCACACAAGCTTTGTAAATATTTTAACATACGAAATCACTAAAATATGAAGGCTTTCTTGCGATAATGTGTCTTTGATACATTATTCCGAGAATGCCGTACACTTTTCATCACTTAAGGTGATACAAATAACTCTATTTTATTGATCATAATATTTTCACTCGCTGGATACCTTAAGAAAAACAAGTCGTTGTAAGACAAGTGTCTGACCGAGTAATTGCTAATAAAACGGTCGAGTTGAAGTTCATGTTTCTGGCAAAACGATGACGGCAAATGGTCCCTCACATTAAAATACAACATGAATTTGATTAATTGAGTTGACGTATAGGTCCGATGTTCGAATCTTGGTTAAAAGGAGTGTGGACGAAGTTCCCAACTGGAATAATGTAGAAATCTAATAACTCGATTCGAGTTCAAAGACGTTCGCTGCAGATTACAGATGCTTCTTTTGATGTTGGTTCCACGCCGTGTTCTTCAGGGAGCTTTTTGGCAGGTGTAGGGGGAGCTACAGTCACTTCGGAGTTCGCTGCTCGTGCCCACGGTTCCAAATCGGTCTGAGCAGTACAGCCGAACACGAGAGCTCCCAGGGATATCAAACCGGCACAAACGTAGAAGACGTTCCTCCATTCTTCAGGCGTGTCCTGAAATTAGGGGGACACCCATTGCGACCATTTTAATATCAACAACAACAAATACCATAATTCAACAATGAACAACAAAACAAACAGCAACAACAAACAACAAAATAAATTGCATCCAAGAACAAATTTCAACAAATAAATATAGGAAGAATTTACTGTCAACACTAAAATATTTGTCCTTCCTCTGAGGGCAAAACTAAAATACTGGTAATTACATTGGAGGTCAACACTACAATATCAGTAATTATACTGGAGATCAAAACTAAAATACCTGTACTTAAACTGGAGGTCAATGCTAAAATAACTGTACTTACATAGGGGATCAATACTAAATTACCTGTACTTACATGATAGATGGTCAATACTAAAAATCCGAGACTTACATAGGGGGTCAACACTAAGATACCAGCACTTACATTGGGGGTAAGGGCACCGGCGACCAGGGGTGCCAGCATTCCTGGTATTGTCGATATGGTATTGTTGATACCAAAGAGAAGACCTGCATATCTGAAATACAGCCATTTTTGTTTGAATGTCAGTGATGTTGAGTATATAATTCTGTGTGATCTGAGCCGTTTGAAACAACGGCGTAAAGACCGCATTGGACTTCCTTACGCTCATTCGTGACCAGCTGGGGTGGTGGGGTAGCCTAGTCGTAAAGCTTTCGCTCGTCACGCCGAAGACCCGGGTTCGATTCCCAACATGGGTACATGTGTGAAGCCCATTTCTGGTGTCCCCCGCCGTGATATTGCTGGAATATTGCTAAAAGCGGCGTAAAACCAAACTTACTCACTCGTGACCAGCTCGTGCTATTCCTTGCCAAGCTGAAAAGCAGGTTACGGAAAGGGGCGAGTGGTTACGAATGCCTTGGACGCACCAGACACAGAAGACCAATGGTCTATTTTTTTCATATCTCCAGGTCTTTCATCTTCATACCCGTGTCCGTGGGACTCACAAAACTGGTGAACATCTGAAACTCCCAGCAGCAATACTATTCACAGGGTCGTAAAACCCAACCCTCGATTATCCAGTGTATCATATCTCCACTCTATTATGAATATGTCCTTGACCTTGATTGTTCAGGAAGTGACGTCACCTTTTTCATCTAACGTATCAGCAACCCTCCTGGTTGACGTTTCATTGAACGACAAAATTAGTGTCAAGAAGCAACGGATAATTATACATAATATAATGAAGACGATATCTATTGAAGTATCTTGAAAAGTATTTTTGGAAGCGTATAGGCGCCACAGTTTAAATATATTTATCGTCTTCGTAGTTGATTCTTTAATCTCCGTATATGATATTACATTCATACGCATCGTAACAGCAACATTGTATTGGCACCCAAGGTGGTTATAAACTGAAGTACAAAAGAAAGTGCACTCTTGGTGCTTTGGGATCAGCGTAGAAATTATAAACGTCACGCGTTACAAACACTTTGAAAATGTTGCCAAAACACCTTTGCACGTTACCTCGGGGCGAAGTCGATGGTGTTGACCATGTAGCCAGAGTTGACTAGTCCCTCCAGACCGACTGCCGTCGTTAGGAGGGCCACGGCCACGTATCTGTTCTCACACGTCACAAAACCAACACCGACCAGACAGGCGGCACTGCACAGAAATGCTGCAACAAAGTCATAAACACTACCAAACAGTCATTCTGTACCAATACAAATTTTACTGTGAAAAATAAGTTCTTTCCAAAATGTGCACGTGCGAAAGAAGGGTTAAAGAAGGGTCACGTACATGCGTGAGCGCGTTTGTGCGTTTGCGCATTTTTATGTGTACTGCTGTGGAGATACGTGAAATACATATAGAACAGTAGATCGGAGATCCTGGCACAACTAAGGGGCGCAACTCGTTCAAGACAAGAGCGGTATCGTATTTCGGCCACTGAATCCCCCTTGTTTGAATCCGTTATGATTTTGATTGTGAAAGTCAATGTCCATTTGAGAGATCAGTCGTGTCTTTAAAAAGTTAAGGCTTCAAATGACTTACGTTTACGTTATATTATCGTCAAAAGGAGATATAGAAATGTGTGACAAACGACAAACATACAAACAGATTGGAAACTACGTCGGACAAATCTTGTTGAGAAATAGTTCTTTATGAGCCAGTCTGCCAGTTGTCCACCAGCAATGGACAACACCACCATGGCTATGTATGGGACAGCTGACAACACTCCGTTCTGAACAGATGGAATAGAAACGTAATTATATAACAAACGATCATGGATTCAAATCGCTATCAGTGGTTTGTATTACAAGGGGGTAAGGGCAGTAGTTGGAGCAGTGAAACCAATGCACGTGCAGTACGTGATGAGCGTTACCTTAGACCAACCCAACCTGTTCTCGGCGTTTCATTTAATGTGCATACACCCTTGTAATACAAACCAACAATCGCGATTTGAAACTATAATCATTTGTTAAACAACTTTGAAATAACATTCTGAGATTTAGATGTTCAGTTGGCAAGGTAAAATTATGAGGATTCCCAATCTTAATTTCACTTTATTCGATTTACTTTTTTGTTTGAAGTGAAATTCATCGGTACGTTTTCACTGCAAACAGACTATAGAGGTTATGACACCCAGCAATGAACATCACCACCATGGCTATATCTGGCACAGCTGATAACACTCCGTTCTGAACAGATGGAATATAAGCGTAACTAACTAACGTTATAACATACTTAGATTGATTCATGACTGAGCGAGAAAATTTTATGGCTGTTTGTAGACAAATGATTAAAGTTATTTTGGACAGATTCGTTTTCAAATTTAACCCAATCTGTCAGAAATCATGACGTGTAAATATTCTTCCCCGATTTTCAGAACAAAGTTCCCAAAATATTTCTGAATTGGCGATGCACAAATAGAAACAGTGATATACAGAACCGTAACCTAAATTCGTGGGTAACCTTGATTTGTGGTAATTATCACGCTATCTCGTAAATTAAATCTCGTCACGAAGCTGTACTTTTGATGTACACACAATGCCTAGTCTCGCTGGCAAAATGTTCCGAATCTCTGCATTACACGTAAATACACTAAATCTAACTGTCCACAATTGAGATAAACAGCCCAAGATCACTAATGCGACTAATACCATATTCTGTTTTTGACAAAATGTCAAGTAAAAACAATACCGTTAGCACCAACCTTCTCACATCTCGTCGTCTGCCTTCCTTGTGTCAATACTTACTTAATACTTATTTAATGGGATGTCGTACTTAGTGATATATATTAACCAACTACGTAATCCACGAAACAAGGTGACGTCACGTTTTGTGTGCACACGAATGGGTGATGCTTGCAAATGGCTCCAGTAAACAAACGTTTCATTTACGAGTGGAATATTAGGCATTTTCAATTTGCTGAATCAATGAATAAAATAATCGATGAGTATACAAAATGAAATCGTGCATTTAAAATTTGATTTCCGCCGCTCTTCGAAAATATGTGTGCACCGAGAGCGACAGTCTTCTGAACTTGTAAATATTTGAAATACCTTTCATGACTAACGGGACCACTTATGGATAATTCGCGGATATGCAGACACATCGATGGAAGATGGATGGGTTGATGGATGACAGATGAAAGACTGGTTTATGGATATGCAAGATGGATGACAGGTGGATGTTTGATAGATATTGGAGATGGATGGATGGTAGGGGAATTGTTGGTTGATGGATGGTTGGTGGGTGATAGATGGACTGATAGTTGATGGGTGGCAGATGGATTGATAGTTGGGAGGCAGATGGATTGATAGTTGGTGGGTGGCAGATGGATTGATAGTTGGGAGGTAGATGGATTGATGGTTGATGCTGGCAGATGGATTGATAGTTGATGGGTGGCAGATGGATTGGTGGTTGATGGGTGGTAGGTGAATTAATGGTTGATGGATGGTAGATGGATTGATGGTTGATGGGTGGCAGATGGATTGATAGTTGATGGAAGGTAGATGGATTGATGGTTGATGGGTGGCATATGCATTGATGGTTGATGGGTGGCAGATGGATTGATAGTTGATGGAAGGTAGATGGATTGATGGTTGATGGGTGGCAGATGGATTGATAGTTGATGGAAGGTAGATGGATTGATGGTTGATGGGTGGCATATGGATTGATAGTTGATGGGTGGCAGATGGATTGATGATTGATGGGTGGCAGATGGATTGATGGTTGATGGGTGGCAGATGGATTGATGGTGGATGGGTGGCATATGGATTGATAGTTGATGGAAGGTAGATGGATTGATGGTTGATGGGTGGCATATGGATTGATAGTTGATGGGTGGCAGATGGATTGATGGTTGATGGGTGGCAGATGGATTGATGGTTGATGGGTGGCATATGGATTGATGATTGATGGGTGGCAGATGGATTGATGGTTGATGGGTGGCAGATGGATTGATGGTTGATGGGTGGCAGATGGATTGACAGTTGATGGAAGGTAGATGGATTGATGGTTGATGGGTGGCATATGGATTGATAGTTGATGGGTGGCAGATGGATTGATAGTTGGTGGGTGGCAGATGGATTGATAGTTGATGGGTTGCAGATGGATTGATAGTTGATGGGTTGCAGATGGATTGATAGTTGATGGTGGCAGATGGATTGGTGGTTGATGGGTTGCAGATGGATTGATGGTTGATGGGTTGCAGATGGATTGATAGTTGATGGGTGGCAGATGGATTGATAGTTGATGGGTGGCATATGGATTGATAGTTGATGGGTGGCAGATGGATTGGTGGTTGATGGGTGGTAGGTGAACTAATGGTTGATGGATGGTAGATGGATTGATGGTTGATGGGTGGCAGATGGATTGATAGTTGATGGAAGGTAGATGGATTGATGGTTGATGGGTGGCATATGGATTGATGGTTGATGGGTGGCAGATGGATTGATAGTTGATGGAAGGTAGATGGATTGATGGTTGATGGGTGGCAGATGGACTGATAGTTGATGGAAGGTGGATGGATTGATGATTGATGGGTGGCAGATGGATTGATGGTTGATGGGTGGCAGATGGATTGATGGTTGATAGGTGGCAGATGGATTGGTAGTTGATGGGTTGCAGATGGATTGATGGTTGATGGGTTGCAGATGGATTGATAGTTGATGGGTTGCAGATGGATTGATGGTTAATGAGTGGCAGATGGATTGATAGTTGGTGGGTGGCAGATGGATTGATGGTTGATGGGAGGTAGAGGGATTGATAGTTGATGGGTGGCAGATGGTTTGATAGTTGATGAGTGGCAGATATATTGATGATTGATGGGTGGCAGATGGATTGATAGTTGATGGGTGGCAGATATATTGATGGTTGATGAATATTGAATATGGATGGTTGATGGGTGGCAGATGGATTGATAGTTGGTGGGTGGCAGATGGATTGATGGTTGATGGGTGGCATATGGATTGATAGTTGATGGGTGGCAGATGGATTGATAGATGGTGGGTGGCAGATGGATTGATAGTTGATGGGTTGCAGATGGATTGATGGTTAATGGGTGGCAGATGGATTGATAGTTGATGGGTTGCAGATGGATTGATGGTTGATGGGTGGCAGATGGATTGATAGTTGATGGGTGGCAGATGGATTGATGGTTGATGGGTTGCATATGGATTGATAGTTGATGGGTGGCAGATGGATTGATAGTTGATGGGTGGCAGATGGATTGATAGTTGGTGGGTGGCAGATGGATTGATGGTTAATGAGTGGCAGATGGATTTATAGTTGGTGGGTGGCAGATGGATTGATGGTTGATGGGAGGTAGAGGGATTGATAGTTGATGGGTGGCAGATGGTTTGATAGTTGATGGGTGGCAGATATATTGATGATTGATGGGTGGCAGATGGATTGATAGTTGATGGGTGGCAGATATATTGATGGTTGATGGATATTGAATATGGATGGTTGATGGGTGGCAGATGGATTGATAGTTGGTGGGTGGCAGATGGATTGATGGTTGATGGGTGGGATATGGATTGATAGTTGATGGGTGGCAGATGGATTGATAGTTGATTGGTGGCAGATGGATTGATAGTTGATGGGTGACAGATGGATTGATGGTTGATAGGTGGCAGATGGATTGGTAGTTGATGGGTGGCAGATGGATTGATGGTTGATGGGTTGCAGATGGATTGATAGTTGATGGGTTGCAGATGGATTGATAGTTGATGGGTGGCAGATGGATTGATAGTTGGTGGGTGGCAGATGGATTGATGGTTAATGAGTGGCAGATGGATTGATAGTTGGTGGGTGGCAGATGGATTGATGGTTGATGGGAGGTAGAGGGATTGATAGTTGATGGGTGGCAGATGGTTTGATAGTTGATGGGTGGCAGATATATTGATGATTGATGGGTTGCAGATGGATTGATAGTTGATGGGTGGCAGATATATTGATGGTTGATGGATATTGAATATGGATGGTTGATGGGTGGCAGATGGATTGATAGTTGGTGGGTGGCAGATGGATTGATGGTTGATGGGTGGTAAAAGGATTGATAGTTGATGGGTGGCAGATGGATTGATAGTTGATGGCTGGCAGATGGATTGATGGTTGATGGGCATCGGTGGTTGATGATATGGAAGATTGATGACTGCTGGATGGCAGAAGCATGGATGATTGATATGGAAAATAGATGGTAGAAAGATGGACGGAAGGAACATGGTACGTGTTGATGGATGCAGACGAGGATGGAAGGATGGGTATACGATGTGTGATGGATGAATGGTGGATGGAATACCGTTTTGATGTCGAACTTGAGTACGGCCTTCATGAAGGTGGGAAGGCTGGTCATGAGAGTGTAGTGCATCCAGTTGTTGCAGAAGTGAGCTGTTAGACAGGTCCAGTTGGCTCGGCACAGAAACAGCTTCTTCCACGGCGTAGACCGAACCTTCGCGAAGATTCATTATTAGGATTCCGCGGTATTACCGGTATACCGCAATACGCTTTTCACATGATACATATTGTAATCTTTTTTCTGAGAACCGGTATATTGGGTAAAGAACATATATGAAGTTTTTGTGATTATGTTTATGGTTTAAATTAGAATCTACACAGACGTCCATTCACAACCGATGTTTTCCTTCGTTTTTCAATGACAAAACGGTATGCTGGGAAACTATACATTTATGAAAATAGAAAATAGAATCCTTGACATTGCTGTTACCAGAACCATAACATATATTTTTAGGAACTTATAATGTAGAAAATATTTCGGTTTGATACAATCCAGACGCATGGATTGGGCTCAGACACACCAAGGATATTGGTGAGGGCGAGTCTGAGATTCGAACCCACGGCAAACGCCTCTTCTAAATTTTTGTCGCATACATTTGCACGACTGATCTTTATGATGGAGACCGCCTCCGTGGTGTAGTGGTTAGAGCGTCCGCCCGGAGGGCGGAAGGTCGCGGGTTCGATCCCCGACCGCGTCATACCAAAAGACGTTAAAATATGGTACTTGTTGGTCCCTGCCTGGCGCTCGGCATTAATAGGTACATCAAGGACTGGTCGGCTCGGAGTCAGTATAATGTGTCTGAGTTGGGTATTCATGCTTCACTGCGGCATGGTATCTCAGTGGGCTAGCACTATAAAACAAGCTTCAGTCTGGGCTAGTACAAGCAGCCGCACAAACACATACACACGCATTCACGTCGTCATATTGTGATTGTGACCATTTATAGCTCATTTTGTAACTTTCAAAGGAAACCATCTAGCTTTCGATCCGTAGGGGCCTTAAAAATATTTTACGTGGTGAAATCTAACTTTGATTGAGGAGGGGGTGGTTTCGTCGTTACATTCCTTTCCTTTTGTATAGTACTAGGGTAGGGTATTATACCTGTATGTCTTTCTAGCGCTGTTTTTTTTAGCGCGACACGCCCCTGTGGATAAACCAAGATGTGCATGAGTACATCAGCGAAGACACAGTGTGAGCAGACACTGTCCTTATTTCTACTTGTCTCACCTCATCATCCTTGTCTCCAATACTGTCAATGATGTAGCGCCTCTCTTGTTTGGATATAGTCGGGTGTTTGGATGGTGAGTCAGCAACGACCAACATCCATAGGCAGGCCCACAGGAACGTACCAATGCCTTCACGAGGAAAACAACGAACATAATGCCTTCACGGGGAAAACAACAAACATAATGCCTTCACGGGGAAAACAACAAACATAAAGCCTTCACGGGGAAAACAACAAACATAAAGCCTTCACGGGGAAAACAACAAACATAATGCCTTCACGGGGAAAACAACCATAATGCCTTCACGGGGAAAACAGCAAACGTAATGCCTTCACGGGGAAAACAACAAACATAATGCCTTCACGGGGAAAACAACAAACATAATGCCTTCATGGGGAAAACAACAAACATAATGCCTTCACGGGGAAAACAACAAACATAATGCCTTCACGGAGAAAACAAGAACAATAATGCCTTCACGGGGAAAACAACAAACATAATGCCTTCACGGGGAAAACAACAAACATAATGCCTTCACGGAGAAAACAAGAACAATAATGCCTTCACGGGGAAAACAACAAACATAATGCCTTCACGGGGAAAACAACAAACGTAATGCCTTCACGGGGAAAACAACAAACATAAAGCCTTCACGGGGAAAACAACAAACATAATGCCTTCACGGGGAAAACAACCATAATGCCTTCACGGGGAAAACAGCAAACGTAATGCCTTCACGGGGAAAACAACAAACATAATGCCTTCACGGGGAAAACAACAAACATAATGCCTTCACGGGGAAAACAACAAACATAATGCCTTCACGGGGAAAACAACAAACATAATGCCTTCACGGAGAAAACAAGAACAATAATGCCTTCACGGGGAAAACAACAAACATAATGCCTTCACGGGGAAAACAACAAACATAATGCCTTCACGGAGAAAACAAGAACAATAATGCCTTCACGGGGAAAACAACAAACATAATGCCTTCACGGGGAAAACAACAAACGTAATGCCTTCACGGGGAAAACAACAAACATAATGCCTTCACGGGGAAAACAACAAACATAATGCCTTCACGGGGAAAACAACATACATAATGCCTTCACGGGGAAAACAACAAATATAATGCCTTCACGGGGAAAACAACAAACGTAATGCCTTCACGGGGAAAAGAACAAACATAATGCCTTCACGGGGAAAACAACAAACGTAAAGCCTTCACGGGGAAAAGAACAAACATAATGCCTTCACGGGGAAAACAACAAACATAATGCCTTCACGGGGAAAACAACAAACATAATGCCTTCACGGGGAAAACAACAAACATAATGCCTTCACGGGGAAAACAACATACATAATGCCTTCACGGGGAAAACAACAAACGTAATGCCTTCACGGGGAAAAGAACAAACATAATGCCTTCACGGGGAAAACAACAAACGTAAAGCCTTCACGGGGAAAAGAACAAACATAATGCCTTCACGGGGAAAACAACAAACATAATGCCTTCACGGAGAAAACAACATACATAATGCCTTCACGGGGAAAACAACAAATATAATGCCTTCACGGGGAAAACAACAAACATAATGCCTTCACGGGGAAAACAAGAACAATAATGCCTTCACGGGGAAAAGAACAAACATAATGCCTTCACGGGGAAAACAACAAACATAATGCCTTCACGGAGAAAACAACATACATAATGCCTTCACGGGGAAAACAACAAATATAATGCCTTCACGGGGAAAACAACAAACATAATGCCTTCACGGGGAAAACAGCAAACGTAATGCCTTCACGGGGAAAACAACAAACGTAATGCCTTCACGGAGAAAACAAGAACAATAATGCCTTCACGGGGAAAACAACAAACATAATGCCTTCACGGGGAAAACAACAAACGTAATGCCTTCACGGGGAAAACAACAAACATAATGCCTTCACGGGGAAAACAACAAACATAATGCCTTCACGGGGAAAACAACAAACATAATGCCTTCACGGGGAAAACAACATACATAATGCCTTCACGGGGAAAACAACAAATATAATGCCTTCACGGGGAAAACAACAAACGTAATGCCTTCACGGGGAAAAGAACAAACATAATGCCTTCACGGGGAAAACAACAAACGTAAAGCCTTCACGGGGAAAAGAACAAACATAATGCCTTCACGGGGAAAACAACAAACATAATGCCTTCACGGAGAAAACAACATACATAATGCCTTCACGGGGAAAACAACAAATATAATGCCTTCACGGGGAAAACAACAAACATAATGCCTTCACGGGGAAAACAACAAACATAATGCCTTCACGGGGAAAACAACATACATAATGCCTTCACGGGGAAAACAACAAATATAATGCCTTCACGGGGAAAACAACAAACGTAATGCCTTCACGGGGAAAAGAACAAACATAATGCCTTCACGGGGAAAACAACAAACGTAAAGCCTTCACGGGGAAAAGAACAAACATAATGCCTTCACGGGGAAAACAACAAACATAATGCCTTCACGGGGAAAACAACAAACATAATGCCTTCACGGGGAAAACAACATACATAATGCCTTCACGGGGAAAACAACAAACATAATGCCTTCACGGGGAAAACAACATACATAATGCCTTCACGGGGAAAACAACAAATATAATGCCTTCACGGGGAAAACAACAAACGTAATGCCTTCACGGGGAAAAGAACAAACATAATGCCTTCACGGGGAAAACAACAAACGTAAGCCTTCACGGGGAAAAGAACAAACATAATGCCTTCACGGGGAAAACAACAAACATAATGCCTTCACGGAGAAAACAACATACATAATGCCTTCACGGGGAAAACAACAAATATAATGCCTTCACGGGGAAAACAACAAACATAATGCCTTCACGGGGAAAACAACAAACGTAATGCCTTCACGGGGAAAAGAACAAACATAATGCCTTCACGGGGAAAACAACAAACATAATGCCTTCACGGAGAAAACAACATACATAATGCCTTCACGGGGAAAACAACAAATATAATGCCTTCACGGGGAAAACAACAAACATAATGCCTTCACGGGGAAAACAGCAAACGTAATGCCTTCACCGGGAAAACAACAACCATAATGCCTTCACGGGGAAAACAACAAACGTAATGACTATAATTTTTATATTTGCAGTTTTACACAGTAAATTAGGCAACAATGAATAATATTCTTAACTGCCGTACAAAAGACAGTATACATCCATGTTTGATGATAGATAAATATAAAACAAGAAATGATTTTGACATCGTGGCGATGTCTCACGATAGGTGACGACGATTTCCTAAGAAACATGGACTCGCAATCATAGATTAATGAGGCGACTGAAGTGTAAACTCTCAGGTGAATACTTTGTATATATTAGATTTTGATTAAATCTGAATTTACAACACTTTGTGTAAAAAGCTGATTCGCAACCATTTACTTCAGCAACTGCTGTCACTGCTCCTGCTGCTGCTGCTACGGTTACCTCTACTCCTACGTCAACTACAACCACGACCACTACCACCACAACAGCGGTTTGTACTACCACAACTGCACGAACTACTTCTACAGGGGTACAGGGAAACTTGCTGCCAGTTTATGCAGCATCTAAAGACAGCAGCATCTAATAGTTTCGTCCTCGTCATCCTTGGCCAGCTGGTTGACATGTGTGCCATGTCTTCGTTCTTGGTCGATGCTCATGCTATCGTTCACCGGTTTACTCGAACGTTGTCATTTCGTTGTTATTACCGGCGTGACACAATATTCACGCGCTTTTCCGGTGGCTTTGACCGAAACCTAAATCGTTGTAATACATGTTTTGTCATATCCATTACCTATAATGTAGGGCCCGTGAAGATCCGGGTTAGAATTGATCTTCAGAAACCCATGCTTGTCGTAAGAGGCGACTAACGGGATCGGGTGGTGTGTGACACATGTCATCGTATCCCAATTGCGTAGATCAATGATCATGATGTTGGTCACTGGAGTATCTGGTCTAAACTTGATTATTTACAGACCACCGCCATATAGCTGGAATACTGCATAGTACGGCGTAAAATTCAACTCACTCACTCACCTATAATGTAGAAAATTGACCCCCAACCGTTGTCAAATCCGTATTCACAAAGAAGTCCTGATGCAGAAAAAGCGAAGATGTTTCCGATCAGAGAACCTGTAAACATAGACGCAATGTATATTAACCTAGGGACATAATTAGAACAGGTTTGTTAATGGACACAGAACCCAATGCAATAATATGACAGTCAGTGTACAGAAAGAGTGAATGACTGAGGTTAGTTTTACGCCGCTTTAGCAATATTCCAGTAATATCACGACTGGGGACACCAGAATTGGGCCTCACATGGTGTACCCATGTGGGGAATCGAACCCGGGTCTTCGGCACGACGAGCGAACATTTAACCACAAGGCTACCTCACCGCCCCGTGAAGGCATGGGAGAATCAAATGGTGATGATGTGAGTTGAAACTGGATTTAACCCTCCGCGCGCGTGCGTTTGTGTATGTTTCTGTCAGTGTAACTTTTTCTCTGTGGGTTTTTCTGTGTTTGTGTGTGAGTATATATGTGATTTTATGCGTTTGTGTGTCTCTAAGTGTATGCGTATTTGTGTGTGTATGTTTATGTGTGTTTGTGTATGTCTGTCATATCTGTGTGTGTCTGTGTGTGTCTGTGTGTATTTGTCAAGACTTCAGTCGGTTTAGCTATACCATGCAGTAGTTTAACATAGATAACACACTCAGATACAGCATACTAACTCAAAGCCGACCTTATTCAAGGAATTCAACAATTTTCGGAAAACATATATTAGAGAAGATGTTTTGGTTTTCCTTCTCGTGGGATGTATTTGGTCACATCATTTCACCTAGAAAATAATTACCTGAGTAGGTAAAAGATGCTAGTCTGCTTCTCTCAAGCGGCGGGGCCCACAAACCCCACATTGACTGCATGGCTGGATATGTAACAGACTAAACCGACATCTCGTTAGAGCTATATTGCACACAACATACATACATACATACATACATACATACATACATACATACATACATACATACATACATACATACGCACGCACGCACGCACGCACGCACGCACGCACGCACGCACGCACGTACGCACGAACGCGCAGACAGACAGGCAGACATATATTATTATGATACATACAAACATATATACATGCATACGCACGCCCGCACAGACAGACAGACAGACAACATCCATTGTTTGATTCCGACTGTATGAAAAGAAGCATGTTGCATATCCTGCCGTGTGAGAAATATGCATTATCACTATGTCGGAAAGCGCATGTAAAATCTGTAACTCATATCATTAATATTGCTTAAATCGTACATTATCCAACTAATAAAGGCGTTTATGTTACCATTCCTTTGTCAAGCGATGCTTTTTTTGTTTGCATTGATGCCATCGTATTGTTTTCAACGCCTAATCATTATCTGTAACACTAGTACCACGACTGTTACCAAGCAGCTGTTACCACCATTGTTACCAAACAATGAATGACTGGAACTATTTGTGTAATATCATTGTGTATTACTTCATGGGCGTGAATATCAAAGCGATGCCGTTCATCATGACCAAGATGATGATGCCCTTATATCAGTATTTAACAGTAAGTTCGAATCCTATATTCAATGCGATTATCATCCCTGGGTCATCTGCACAATCCCCAATGTCATCGGTTTGGACAAAGTGGAAAAATGTCTACGATCTGCATCGATGACGTTACCATAACGTAATTGAAATACCGTTCCAAGCAAAAGTATTTCCCACTCAAATAACACCTACGGATGATATGCCGAGGAGTATTCTCAGCGCCATGACGAGCCTGTAGTCCACCCTAGCACACACGGGTACCAGGAGGGTGGTCAAGGCATTGACCACAAACATGTAGCCTATGACCCTCTTTCCCCCGAACCGTACCGCCAACCACCCCCCTGGTATCTGCAGCAAGAGATAACCATAGAAGAACGATGACAAGATGGCCGACTGTATAGACTTGTCCCAGTCAAACTCTGCTGTCTGAAAGAGAAAAGTAATGCAAATATTATCATTATGATTGAACTAGTGAGTGAGTTTAGTTTTCGCCACACGCAGTCAATACTAATGAGATTGGCGGCTGACTGTACTGACTTGTCCCAATCAATCTGTCCTGTCTGAAAGGGAAAAATAATGCAGGAATTATCCATTCTGTTTGAACTTGTAAGATTGGCGGCTGACTGTACAGACTTGTACCTATCAATCTCTGCTGTCTGAAAGAAAAATAATGCAGGAATTATCCATTCTGTTTGAACTTGTAAGATTGGCGGCTGACTGTACAGACTTGTCCCAATCAATCTGTCCTGTCTGAAAGAGAAAAATAATGCAGGAATTATCTATTCTGTTTGAACTTGTAAGATTGGCGGCTGACTGTACAGACTTGTCCCAATCAATCTCTGCTGTCTGAAAGAAAAATAATGCAGGAATTATCCATTCTGTATGAACTTGTGAGACTGACGGCCGCTTCGAGTAGAGCAGGACATGCCTCCTCTTGAAAGTGGTGCACAAGGTGTATGAGCATGATTGATAATGTTTTTTTGCATAAATTACAAGTAATTTCGGATTTGTTTTAGTCAATATTTGAGAACGCTACACAAGGTAATTGAGTACTTATTTGAGCATAAACTGCAAGTGGTATTTAAAATAATTAAGAATTTATTTTGATCGTGACGTGAATGTATAAAGCAAATTACTTAATCAGAAAAGTTTAGTACGGAAGCGCTGAAGAGACCTGATGAAATAAAATTTATTTTGAGCGCACGAGTTAATATGTTGAGAGCACAAGTTAATGTCTTGAGCGCACAAGTTAGAATGCTGAGTGCTAAACTTAGTATCTTGAGATACTTGACTAACGGGATCGGGTGGTCAGGATGGGTGGCTTGGTTGACCACATGTCATTGGTTCCCAGTTGTGCAGATCGATGCTCATGCTGTTGATCACTGGATTGTCTGGTCCAGACTCGATTATTTACAGACTACCGCCATATGGCTGGAATATTGCTGAGTGCGGCTTAAACACAACTCACTCACTCACTCATGTCGAAGCAATGGAGGAGCGGAGACGCTAGTTGATTCACGTTTATTTCAGTCATGGGTTCCAAAGATATGACGATTATGACAGATGTCGTCATAATGTTGACACTAGAATCTCAGTTGCTTTAGGGGCTATTATTGTGAAGGTATCAGCGAAATCGCATCAGGCGTTATGGTGGAAGTGGTACTAACGAAATTCGGTACAAATAAATGATAACCACGATAAAACAATAGGTCTTAGGAGACTGTGTCTAGATAAGACCCAATAATTAAGAGCATTTAATTTTGATGTTTGGAGTGAAATTATAAAATATTTATCTTCCAATTAATTAATATTATTAATAATAAATAATGTAGTTTTGTATAGCGCTAGATTCCATAAAAACATATGCTCAAAACGCAACACGGAATAGAATAAAATACATTTAAAAGACTGGATATTAGAGGGAAAATGTCAACACTAGTGAGTCAGACATAGTAGATGGTGAAGAGGTGAGATTTCAGCTGTAACTTAAAATTGTCACAGGATTTGATTCCTCTCATTTCTAAGGGAAGGTCATTAGAGCCACAATTATATATAAATGAGATTCTTTACACTTCATAGGAGGAGATAATCATCTTATTAACTCACTGAAGATATGGGTTTTAGTTCAACTGGAAACTTGGCTTTTTCTCTGTTCGAAGTATAACAATGCATGTTATTCTCATCTAATATAAACCTGTGTATAGGGAGGAAGTAACAGGACAGGAACGTGGTATTTTAGTAAGAAATATAGTCAGTATATGTGCTATACGCGCGCATACTAATATACTCATGCCAATAATGGTTTGCATCGTTTGAAATCTTCCAAAAAGGATATAGGTTTGTACAATTTAGCCAGCAGTCAAGCAAACGTTCCAGTAATGCCATTGGATGCTTAACACGAGGTAAGGTGAGGTGAAATTGGGTTTAACGTCGTGCTTGAGAATATTTCGCTCATATGACGACGTGCATGCGTGTGTATGTGTATGTGCGGCTGCTTGTACTAGCCCAGACTGAAGCTGGTTTTATAGTGCTAGCCCACTGAGATACCATGTCGCAGAGAAGCATGAATACCCCACTTAGACACATTATACTGACTCTGAGCCGACCAGTCCTTGTTGTACCTACCCATTAATGCCGAGCGCCAGGCAGGGACCAACAAGTACCATATTTTAAGGTCTTTTGATATGGCGCGGTCGGGGATCGAACCAACGATCTTCCTCTCTCCCCCCAACACAACAAGATATTAATTTGTGTGCTCAAGATATTAAGTCGTGCGCTGAAAATACTAACTTGTGCGCTGAAAATAACTAACTTGAGCGCTCAATATGTTAACTTGTGCACTCAACATACTAACTCGTGCGCTCAAGATAAATTCTATTTCATCAGGTCCTTTCCACGCTTCCGTAGTTTAGCATAGTTTTAACGCGGTTAACAAAATACTTCCGACTAAAACTTGACAAAAGAAAAACGTGGAAAGCGACCCTGTATGGAAAGTACCACGATTGTGTCCTGAAGAAAACAAATGTACGAGGCCGCTGTAAGGCGTTAACAACGTGGCACGATATTTAATTATGTCTACAGTAACTGTGACATTCGTGCTTCACACAATGGCAACATATTTAAACGTTACGAAACTGATGAAGCGTGCTCCGAGAAAGGGACTGTTTGCTATAAGGAGACTGATGCACCTGATTTACTAACACATCGTGGTATTATCGCGGCATCAACATTGACGTGTTCAACACAAACATACAGGTTGTCCAATTTCCAGTTTCTTCTCCCCACGAAAACCGCGTTGTTGCACATCAGTGAATTTGTGGCCTGACCTACTTCACTCAGGTGAAACCACTTTATATGATAATATTTGTGTACCTACAGTTAGCTTTTTTATGCGTGTTTCTAAAGAGGTTAGCTCCTTAATTCAGCCTTGGTGATGCTGATAAGAAAATAGGTCACCAGCAAACCTGTGCTTGTTGTTAGAGGTGACTAAATGGATAGGGTGGTGAGACAAGGTGACGTGGTGGGTTGTTTGTCATTGCGTTAAATTTCTCAACGTGTGTAAGGGGAATGGACTAGGGCTAGGACGGTTAACCCGGATACCTGGGACGGGTTGGTAATGACTTGGACCCGGGTACCCGTCTCAATACCCCTATCCGTTATGGTCATGTGACTAATAGATTAAACAATGGAACTTGTTCCCAGCTAAAAATTCCACGTTGTGACAACGTTGTGACAACGTTATGCTTTCGTTGTTTTAACGTTATTCCGTGGACTTTCGTTTATACGTTTGTCACAACGTTGTGGCCTGACGTTGTAATACGTCATTTTTACGTCGCCACAAGGTAAAGTCTTTTGGTGCTAATGTATTTTACGTTGTCTTAACGTTCTGTTTAACATTCATATTTGAATCCAAGTACTGAACAGTACACAGGAAACAAAGCGGAAATTCACTTCAATGTTTATTTGTCAATTTGTATGTTGTTTTGGTCGTGTGTTTTCTGAAGCAGTAGCTGAATAGTGAAGAAAGAATCTGAAAGTGAACAGTTTTACAGAAAACTCTATCGTTTCCTCAACGTAAATTTTCGACGTTGTTATTACGTTGTGACATAACGTTATAAAATGACGTAATACTAACGTTGTCACAACGTTGTGTCTTGACGTTACCAATCTACAACCTTCCCACAACGTTACGAATATGTTAGAGGCGTTATTCTTACCTGTTTTGAATATAATAATAATAGTTCATTTATAAAGCGCATATTTCCATGCACAATGCATGGTTAAGATATTGAAAAACTCGAAATATTAGTCTTCGGGCTGAAGAATATATTGCCATTCCTTGTAGATTTGATGTCAGGAATTAACCTAACGGGTATCCGGGTCGGGTATGGTATTAGTGGGTGGGGCACCCGGATAGAATATTTGGACCCGTCCCAGCCCTTGAATGAACTTTTAGGCTGTAGTGTCCTTCACACAGTTGAAGCCACTTCATGTGTTAACATTTGTGTGACCACAGTCTGTTATTACGTATTTCGCGTTTATTGTCAGAGAAGACTAAATGGATATGGTAGTGAGAAAAGGTAATAATCAGCGTGAACGTGCATTCATCGGCCGAAATATGTATCCAATTAATCCGATGATGATGATGATGATGATTATAGTTTATTTAACAAGGAGAGTGGCCTGACGACGTTGCTTATCACCAGTCCCATGCAATAAGAAAAACAACGAAATGTGAAATAACTGATACGTTACTATTAATTCATCTTACCCAAATGGGGACGGTGAGGTAGCCTAGTGGTTAAAGCGTTGGCTCGTCACGCCGAAGACCCGGGTTCGAATCCCCACATGGGTACATTGTGTGAAGCCCATTTCTGGTGTCCCCCGCCGTGATGTTGCTGGAATATTGCTAAAAGCGGCGTAAAACTAAACTCAGACAGTCAGTCTTACCCAAATGAACAGTGGTTTATGGTGTGAAAACCTGAAACACGTCTACTGGAGGCATAGCAAGATGTTTTGGTACCGTTGGAAAGCTTGGAATCTCTGGTTTTCCAAAACCAATGTTGCCAGACATGAAGGTGTCGGAGATCATGACTGCTATATATAAGTGAGTTTAGTTTTACGCCGCATTCAGCAATATTCCAGCTATATGGCGGCGGTCTGTAAATAAATCGAGTCTGGACCAGACAATCCATTGATTAACAGCATGAGCATCGATCTACGCAATTGGGATACGATGACATGTGTCAACCAAGTCAGCGAGCCTGATCACGCGATCCCGTTAGTTGCCTCTTACGACAAGCATGGGTTACTGAAGATCAGTTCTAACCCGGACCTTCACGGGTCTGCTGTATTATAAAGGAATATATGTAAGGAATAAACTCCGAAGACTCGCCAATATTCGCGCGGCTGGCTGAGTCCGAGGCCGTTAGGCCGAGGACCCACCCAGCCGCGCGAATATTGGCGAGTCTGAGGAGTTTATTGCGCTTAAACCTAAAATCATACATATTGGCGCCCTAGTTTCGTAACTCTTGCACCCGAACACAGCACTATTAATATTGGCGTCCTACATCTGGGTAGCACGGTATGCACGATACACACGCTATGAACACGCTCTACTGTGCACGTGGCAGCGTATTGGAGGGATACAAAACAAACGAAATATTTTACTGCATCCATTTTACCAGATGTTTTCAATCATGTCAGGCGAATTGGGTTCTTTATGCGATGTCTTTGTCACTCAAAGTTAATACATTTTCCGAAGCAATTGAATGGAAGTATTTCGAGTGTCAATTTTGATATCACTCTGCAAGGAGAAATCATGTAGATACAGTTGGGAATAGTTCTTCGGATGAAGAATTGCTGCGTGAGTCGCAATACCTAGAACGGGAATTTGACCAAATGAATAGTTCAGTAGATGATGAACTGATGCTTGCTTCTCAGCAGATAGAAAAAGAAAGTGAACAAACAACTACCAAACGTTTTGGCTAACCTCTCTCAGTTTCTGAAAATAAATCTCCCAAAAAAGTAAAAATTCAGAAAAGAAAAGCAGTGGGCAGTGCTGGTTTTCGATTCCTGGCAACGTGAAAGGGATGGGTTTGAATCCCAGTTAGGCAGCAGATTATTAAGTATTTCTGATAAAGAGCTGAATAGGACGCTGAGTCTGTTTGTCACAGCAGTAAGTAACCAAAAGAGTGAGTGAGTTTAGTTTTACGCCGCACTCAGCAATATTCCAGCTATATGGCGGCGGTCTGTAAATAATCGAGTCTGGATCTGACAATCCAGTGATCAACAGCATGAGCATCGATCTGCGGAATTGGGAACCGATGTGTCAACCAAGTCAGTGAGCCTGACCACCCGATCACGTTAGTTGCCTCTTACAACAAGTATGGGTTACTGAAGATCAATATTCTAACACGGACCTGCACGGGTAAGGAACCAAAAGGGAGGTCAACAAGGGCAACATAGTTCACGAGATTCTTATTTTGATGCAAAGATTCTTGCGCCAAAGTGGTCGAGATGTTAACCTAACCACCGACTTTGCTTTTAGGGGCTTAAGAACCATTTTAGACGCTAAAATGTAATCACTGGCACAGTCTGGTTTTGGCATGCGTAGAAGGCTAGGAAAGCTAGCGTCATCACACCACAGGAAGAGGGTGCATTGTGGGAGTCGGGTTTGCTTGGGGATGACACCCCGGAAAAATTGCTTGAAACCGCTTTTTATTTGAATGGGCCGTCGTTGTCCATATAGACTTGACCAAAAGTACATGTCATTGGGCTGAGTGAATAATATGGTGAGTACTTAAAATCTTAAAATTTAAAAAAAAATGAAATTCATATCTTTTTAAAAAATAGTTTGTTTAAAAAAAAACATGACGACGGCTACAGTGCAGCCTGTATGCAATATATGTACAACTTGACTGCAGGCCAGTGGGTTGTGATGACTGGGGAATTGAACCCGCGCCACAGGCACTTTAACCACTAGGCTACCTCACCGCCCATAGACGTAATTAATAAGTGAGGTAGCCTAGTGGTTATAGTGCCTGCGGCGCGGGTTCGATTCCCTGCAAAGGCACAATGTGTAAAGCCCATGCGTCGTGTCCCCCACCGTTATACTGCTGCAATTCAAGTGCTAAAACTGTACACTTCGTTGTGGAGCGTAATGGTGCTAAAGTGTTTCTGTATTTCGGTACAGGGGGTATTACTGTTTGGATTCAGCGTTAGGACCAGGTCAGTAATAGGGCGCCAGAATTTGAAAGTAGGGCGCCAATACACGCGATAAAGTCGCCAATATACGAAGCTAGGTCGCCAATAAACGAAAGATACGGGCTTCCAATTCCATGCTTATTGGAGGGATATGTTGTGTAATGGAGGCAATTTTAGGTTTAACTTAATCTTAATGATCACAATAATAAACATCGTCGTCGCCGTCGCCACTTACATCAAACCCTTTGGATTCCTCAATGGTACAGCTTTGAGTCACATCTGCGAGATTCTCCTGTGTGAGGTTGCCGGCGGTGGTAATGTTCATCTGCTGCGTCTTCACCATACACACGATGGCCACGCTGATGTTGGTGCGGACGCAGTAGAGGAAGAAGAAGCCGACGATGGCCACGTAGGCCAGAATCCATCTTTTGGATGTTAATACAGGAACTGTCAGAAAAAAGACGTTAATTGAATTAATCACTCGAAACATGAGCGGAGCAGTTTGGTAGCCCAGTGGTTAAAGCAGTACAGGACCGGGTTCGGGTCTCCCCCATGGCACAATGAACAGAGTTCATTCCCTCTCAATGTTGTTGCTAAAGTGGTGTTGGTTGGTTGTTTTACGCCGCACTCAGCAATATTCCAGCTATATGGCGGCGGTACGTAAATAATCGAGTCTGGACCAGACAATCCAGTGATCAACATCATGAGCATCAATCTGTGCATTTGGGACATGATGACATGTGTCAATCAAGTCAGCGAGCCTGACCACCCGACCCCTTTAGTTGCCTCTTACGACAAGCATGGGTTACTGAAGATCAATTCTAGTCCACATCTTCACGGGTCGCTTAAGTAGTGTGGACGCTCGCGCACACGTTTGATCACTCACTCACTCGGTCATCCACTCTTTCGCTCGCGCGCTCACTCACTCATTTCCTCGCTCACTTATTCAACCGTTTGATCACTCGCTCACTCACCGTGTTACTTTATTACACTTCGTTATGTGGCTGAAATGATGCTGAAGCAAAGTTAAATTTTAACTCAGATATAAAACAGGTAGCATCAGCCAATTTAACGTTTATTTAATATTTCACCCTTGCATACTTTCGGTAAATTTGCGGTGTAGTCGCGATATTTAACCAACGACATAATCAACCAACGGCTTGGCTAAACCTCGAAAACCGTAAGTGCTCAGACGAATGAGAGCTAAGCTATCATCAGCATTATTTCTTCAGACACATGTACTACAGCTAAGGAGCGGTGGGGTATCCAAGTGGTGTAGCCGTTCGCTCGTCACGCCGAAGGCCCGGGTTCGATTCCTCTCTTGGGTACAACGTGCGGAACCCATTTATGGTGACCCCCGCCATGATATTGCCGGAATATTGCTAAAAGGAGCGTAAAACCATATTCACTCACTCACTCACTACTTCCGCCTTGTCAGCTGGGTTCCGTCTCTCATATCGCAACATATATGAGAAGTGTTCAAGGTCGCCACACAACACCAAACACACAGCTATATTACTGACATAAACGTACCCTGTATGGATAAATGAAAAGTCAACAAAACAATAGGTCTATATGGCTGATTTTCATAACATAAGATATTTTACAATGGATAATCGAGATTGACATATTTGCAATACCCGATGTAAGTTCAGAGTAGAACAATGTACGCCAAGCTTTGACGCAACTTGTCGCGCAAATGTAGTTCGGACCAACTCACGCAACCCTGCCCCCAAACCCCTCCTTGGTACCCTTTCCGATCTTTTGGGAGCTGACATGTCTTCAGGGACAAACATTTTCATTTCTCGCACATGCGCCTCACTGTCCCGTTAAACGAGCACTCCTAAACTGTGATGGCGCTCGTGGTCCCGAGGTAAGGAAGTAATCCGTCGAAGCGCATGCGAAAGTACAGTACTCCCCCGGCTCATGAGGATAACGTGGTAAATACAAAACCCTTGAAGTGCTGGTGTCACTCCACAAAGAATGTGCGGCTTACATTTTGTAAGTGTTCTTGCCACCGTCTGTTGATATATTCACATTTGCCCTTTGACTATTTGTTTCTGTTTGACAAAGCGACCGTAGCTCCTGTTGTGTCCTTACTCCCATACTTTAACATAGAGTTACAGCAGTCCTAGCGTAAAGATGGCTGTGTGAAACAGGGCCAAGGTGTTTAGTATTTACCATTCATGAGTCGTTTTTGTGAAATACACGTGCATGTCTTGTTTTACCCAGAAATAGAATAACTGGATGAGAAGTAGAACACACCTCAGCGAGTCACAGATAAGTTGGTCACCATGCCACTATGTATATAAACATCACTTGTTTGTCCAAATGTCAGTGTGTCAGCAAATATGAAGAGTCTGGTTACCCTCGTGTATGTACTGCCCGTGTCAAGGACGCCATACTGGAGGGGTTATTCATATATACATGAATATACTCAAAATGATTATATATTTTCTATTGCTTGCGGTCTTTCGGGGCGGTGGGTAGCCTAGTGGTTAAAGCGTTCGCTGAAGTCCCGAAGGCCCGGGTTCGATGCCCCACATGGGTACAATGCGCGAAGCCCATTTCTGGTGATATTGCTGGAATATTGCTAAAGGCGGCGTAAAAACATACTCACTCACTCACTCATTGTGGTCTGTCAGTTCCTGAACAAGACAGTCCAGGGATTGACATCATAAGCATCAATCTGCGCTGGGTGGTTGGTCAGTTGGCTGTTGTTTGGCGGCGCTCTGTAAATAATCGAGTCTGGACCAGGCAATCCAGTGATCAACAGCATGAGCATCGATCTACCCAGTAGGGATACGATGACATGTATCAACCAAATCAGCGAGCCTGATCGCCCGATCCCGTTAGTCGCCTCTTACGACAAGCATGAGTTGCCGAAGACCAGTTCTATAGGTCCATCGATCTACGCAATTGGGATCCGATGACAGGTCCATCGATCTACGCAATTGGGATCCGATGACATGCTTCAACCAAGTCAGCTTGCCTGCCACTGACCAACCGGCCCCGTTTGTGGCCTCTTACGACAAGCATGAGGTGCTGAAGAGCAATTCTAACATAGATCTATCCCATACAGACATGTTCGATAGAGTAGAGGTCTGGAACAATTTAAATAAATGTTATGCTTCACTGCAAGGGATGTAACTAAGCACTTATCCATGTCTAAGATGAATCGATGAGTTTTTAAGGGGGTAATTTTTAAATATCTAGTCTCAGCGATTATATGTAGTATTTCCTGCGATTTTTAGACTAAATGCATACAATTCAGTTCTACAAAATATTGTCTATGTTGTGTTGAATTTGTAAACTATTGACTAGATATGTTTTATGTATGCCAACTTCCTCTATATTCTGATGCAACATTTCTATATAGATTTTTGTACCGATGTCAAGCAAAAACGGATGCCACTCTTCAGGACATATACATGGATTACCAGATGATTATTACCATTCGAACTTGCAAAGAGAAATATCTTTTTTTTAAATTATCGTTCCCAATTTTATCAATTTACTCTATGTACCATCCAATAATAATTTATGATTAATGATAATAGATTTAGATAAAAGCAACTGCCTTTTCCCGTTCATGGCAGTTAGGAACTTGACGTGTAACTTGTGGCGGGACATTGTCAACTGCAACGTGGCGGCTCAGTCCTGCGTTTTCAGAATGAGTGAGTACGGTTTGAGGCCGCTTTTAGGAATATTCCAGGAATATCATGGCGGGGGACTCCAGAAATGGGCTTCACACATTGTGCCCGTGTGGGGAATCGAACCGGGGTCTTCGGCGTGACGAGCGAACGCTTTAACCACTGGGCTACCCCACCGCCTTGAACACATACAAGTGTGTGAGCATCATGCTTCCAACAAACGTGCAAACATCCAAATTGTGCACCGCGCCAGCTGTGAATATCTCACAGTCATGGAGATGTCTTCATGAAAATGTTTTAAAAGAGGTCTTCTTTAAAATATTATAAACAGATATTGGTTTTGAAACTTACGTAAACCTTAGTTATTCGTGTTCGTTAGTACAATACGCTTGACTACAAAAGTGCAGAAAAAATCATTCAAGGCAACGGTCCCCTGATTTTATCGAATAACTTGCTTAATCGTGCCTTAATATTGTCTATTCATTTCTTTTGCAACATCATTATTTGGGGCCCACAAGGACATTATTTAATATAATGTCTTAGTTTGCAGGTGCGGATGAAAAGTATGAAGTCTCTATGCAAAATCCCGACATAAAATACTGCATAAAAATAACAAAATGCTGAGGAACTGAAACAAAGCAATGTATCTCAACAATAAAACAAAACTAATAGCACGTTGTTGAAAAGAAACCAAACCAAACATTACCTCCCTCATTATCAGGAACAACGCACTTCTCTGCCATCTTCTTCCAATGTTCATCCACCACACGTCTAACGTCAAACTAGTAATAGCTAAGTTCCAAGACTGGATGTCTTCGCTTTGATTGCAAAACAAATATTTGTTTGACCCAACCTTCAACGGCTTCGGTTTCATGTGTATGCAAGTCTACTTCAGATGGTCATCTTGTCACGTCGCCTGTCACGTGATATGTCACAGTATTCAGCTTTGAGTAGCACACGAGACATAGTTCCTTTATGTCAAGGCACGGTTACGATGTTTCAAAAGGATGTAACAGCTTTGCACGGCCCATTCTAACACAGATTAGAGTTACAAAAAGGTTCATATGAAAACAGAGTTTAGGCACATCACGTGTTGTCTCAATGTATACAATGCAAAAACAGTTTGCATGAGAATAATTTATGTGATAAAGAAGGCCAGAAGTTGCAGGTGCTTTTTTGGTTGGAAGGAACCAGAAATCTAAAACATTTGTGCGAAAGTGGCATTTCGGACATAGATATTCATACAGAGTGACTTCACAACTTGCTGCATTGAAAACGAACCCGTCACAGTGTCCTGACATGTTTTACTTTATTGTAAAGACTACGTAGATATAAGGAATACATTTCTTTATAATCATTTGAAACATCCTCTATCATACCAGTCTTCAAAAAACATATACTGAGTCAAAAAAGAAACTTCACAAAATGTAATTTGAAAATAATGAATAATTTTTCTCTGATGATACATCTATGTATCCGAAATGGGATCCCTATCTTTCGACTCTAGAAAAACGTTAGCAAAACCCACTCAAACCCATCCATTCCTCGTGCAAATGACGTTAGTGCCAAATCAGGTTTCGCACGTGCAGTCGATCACATGATCTTCGCATCGAAGTTTTCTTCATAAGCACGTGTTTGCATTGGCCTCAAGAATTGAAAAAACACTTTTAAACCACAGTTCTAACGGTACTTGAAATGCCACGATTGTCAAATGTGCAACGTGAACGTGCCGTTGGCATGTTGCAAGCGGGAAGATCAGTTATTGACGTCGCAAGAGCAATGGGATGCAGCCGTCGTACTGTGTATGACTTGCGAGGTCGTCTACAACAAACTGGCACCACTTCTGATAGCCCAAGGTCGGGTCGTCCACGTGTGACGTCACGAGCAGAAGACCGTCAAATCGTCCTTCGTCACCTACGTGACAGATTTCTGCCGGCTACACGAACCAGGGCTGAGATGTTTAGAGGTCGACTGTCCTCACAGACCATTCGAAATCGGTTGCGGGCTGCCAAACTCCATTCTCGACGTCCATATCGTGGGCCAATATTGACGCCGTTTCATCAACGTCAACGTCTGCTATGGGCCCAACGTCACCTCCGATGGACCCAGAAGCGGAAGTTGCATGGTGTGGGGTGCTTTCTGTTGGAACAACCGTTCCCGACTTCTGGTCATCCGTGGAAACCTCACAGCTGCTTACCGCGACCAGGTGCTCACCCCCTGAACTCGTTCCTTTCATGGCGGCTCATGGCCCAGGTCTACAGTTCCAGCATGATAATGCTCGGCCGCATACCGCGATGTTGACACGAAATTTCCTTCAAAACGCTGGAATCAACGTCATGGACTGGTCATCGAGGTCCCCTGACCTTAATCCAATAGAGCACGTTTGGGATGCACTTGGGAGAAGGCTTCGTGGTCTTAGGAACCAACCTCAGAATTTGCAGGAACTTGGCGCTGCCTTGCAAGAGCAATGGCGCAGAATCCCCAACCACGTGTTCACAAGCATCAGGCTGTCGATGAGGAGACGGTGTTTGGCAGTGGTGAATGCGCGGGGCGGCCATACACGATATTGAACTGAGAAATTTCGCATTTTTATTCTTGTGACTTGACATTCTGTATACCCATGTTTTGGAACGGCGGTGTAGCCTAATGGAACGGATTATGGCACTGTCAGTGTATCGAGTACATCACACAGATCTCAGCAATGAAATAATAACAATTTAACCATCTTACCATCTCTTGTTCTTTTATAGTGCCCTGAAGAAAGAAAGTTTCTTTTTTGACTCAGTATATATGTTCGTGCCTTTACATATTAATTTATGCCTATTTTATATAATGTTACGAAAATAATTTTTTTGATGTTTTTTCTGAACACTCATGTTTCATGACGATTTCACTTGCTACCCTGTGTATAATTATGTCAGTTTCATGATGACTTCACCAGCTAATCTGTGTTCTAATATGTCCCCCCATATAGGTGGAATATTGCTGAGTGCGACGTAAAACTAAACTCAGTCACACACTCTAATATGTCAGTTTCATGGCGAGTTCACTCGCTACTTTGTTTTCTAATATGTCAGTTTCATGACGAGGTCCCCCGTTACTCTGTGTTCTAATTTGTCAGTTTCATGACGAGGTCCCCCGTTACTCGGTGTTCTAATATGCCAGTTTCATGACGTGTTTCCCCGCTACTCTGTGTTCTAATATGTCAGGTTCATGACGAGTTCCCCCGCTACTCTGTGTTCTAATATGTCAGTTTCATGACGCGTTCCCACACTTATCTGTGTTCTAATATGTCAGTTCCATGGCGAGTTCACTTGCTACTCTGTATTCTAATATGTCAGTTTCATGACGAGTTCATTTGCTACTCTGTGTTCTAATATGTCAGGTTCATGACGAGTTCCCCCGCTACTCTGTGTTCTAATATGTCAGTTTCATGACGAGTTCCCCCGCTACTCTGTGTTCTAATATGTCAGTTTCATGACGCGTTCCCACACTAATCTGTGTTCTAATATGTCAGTTCCATGGCGAGTTCACTTGCTACTCTGTATTCTAATATGTCAGTTTCATGACGAGGTCCCCGTTACTCGGTGTTCTAATATGCCAGTTTCATGACGTGTTTCCCCGCTACTCTGTGTTCTAATATGTCAGGTTCATGACGAGTTCCCCCGCTACTCTGTGTTCTAATATGTCAGTTTCATGACGCGTTCCCACACTTATCTGTGTTCTAATATGTCAGTTCCATGGCGAGTTCACTTGCTACTCTGTATTCTAATATGTCAGTTTCATGACGAGTTCATTTGCTACTCTGTGTTCTAATATGTCAGGTTCATGACGAGTTCCCCCGCTACTCTGTGTTCTAATATGTCAGTTTCATGACGAGTTCCCCCGCTACTCTGTGTTCTAATATGTCAGTTTCATGACGCGTTCCCACACTAATCTGTGTTCTAATATGTCAGTTCCATGGCGAGTTCACTTGCTACTCTGTATTCTAATATGTCAGTTTCATGACGAGTTCATTTGCTACTCTGTGTTCTAATATGTCAGTTTCATGACGAGCTCCCCCGCTACTCTGTGTTCTAATATGTCAGTTTCATGCCGAGTTCCCCCGCTACTCTGTGTTCTAATATGTCAGGTTCATGACGAGTTCCCCCGCTACTCTGTGTTCTAATATGTCAGTTTCATGACGCGTTCCCGCACTTATCTGTGTTCTAATATGTCAGTTCCATGGCGAGTTCACTTGCTACTCTGTATTCTAATATGTCAGTTTCATGACGAGTTCATTTGCTACTCTGTGTTCTAATATGTCAGGTTCATGACGAGTTCCCCCGCTACTCTGTGTTCTAATATGTCAGGTTCATGACGAGTTCCCCCGTTACTCTGTGTTCTAATATGTCAGTTTCATGACGCGTTCCCACACTAATCTGTGTTCTAATATGTCAGTTCCATGGCGAGTTCACTTGCTACTCTGTATTCTAATATGTCAGTTTCATGACGAGTTCATTTGCTACTCTGTGTTCTAATATGTCAGTTTCATGACGAGCTCCCCCGCTACTGTGTGTTCTAATATGTCAGTTTCATGCCGAGTTCCCCCGCCACTCTGTGTTCTAATATGTCAGTTCCATGACGAGTTCCCCCGCTACTGTGTGTTCTAATATGTCAGTTTCATGACGATTTCACTTGTTACCCTGTGTATAATTATGTCAGTTTCATAACGAGTTCACTTGCTACTCTGTGTTCTAATATGTCAGTTTCATGACGAGTTCACTCGTTACTCTGTGTTCTAATATGTCAGTTTCATGACGAGTTCCCCCGCTACTCTGTGTTCTAGAATGTCAGTTTCATGACGAGTTCCCCCGCTACTGTGTGTCCTAATATGTCAGTTTCATGACGAGTGCACATGCTACTCTGCGTACAAACATGTCAGTTTCATGACGATTTCACTTGTTACCCTGTGTATAATTATGTCAGTTTCATAACGAGTTCACTTGCTACTCTGTGTTCTAATATGTCAGTTTCATGACGAGTTCACTCGTAACTCTGTGTTCTAATATGTCAGTTTCATGACGAGTTCCCACACTACTCTGTGTTGTAATATGTCAGTTTCATGACAAGTTCCCCCGCTACTCTGTGTTCAAATATGTCAGGTTAATGATGAGTTCCCCCGCTACTCTGTGTTCTAATATGTCAGTTCCATGACGAGTTCCCCCGCTACTCTGTGTTCAAATATGTCAGGTTAATGATGAGTTCCCCCGCTACTCTGTGTTCTAATATGTCAGTTTCATGACGAGTGCACATGCTACTCTGTGTACAAACATGTCAGTTTCATAACGAGTTCACTTGCTACTCTGTGTTCTGATATGTCAGTTGCATGGCGAGTTCACCCTCTACTCTGTGTACTAACATGTCAGCTTCATGCCGAGTTCACTTGCTACTCTGTGTTCTAATATGTCAGTTTCATGACGAGTTCATTTGCTACTCTGTGTTCTAGAATGTCAGTTTCATGACGAGTTCCCCCGCTACTGTGTGTTCTAATATGTCAGTTTCATGACGAGTTCCCCCGCTACTCTGTGTTCTAATATGTCAGTTTCATAGCGAGTTGACCTGCTACCCTATGTATAATTATGTCAGTTTCATGACGAGTTCACTTGTTACTCTATGTACTATTATGTCAGTTTCATGGCGCATTGACCTGCTACTCGGTGTGCTCATATATATACCTGCTATATTATATATTAATTACCGGCTCTGTTAACACAATGTGTGTCGTTTCGCCCCAATGAGTCCACTAAATATGCTTTCAAAAC